AATCTTACCTTGCATCTAAATCAGCTTTTCAAACCTTTTCAGTCAGCATTAAGACAGGCGCAGACCTGAAACAGTCCTTGCTAAGGTAATTAATGTTTTGTTGATGATGCTAGACTCTGTGCGTCTTAATATTCTTGTTCCACTGGATGGAGGTGCAGCTATTGCATTTTTAACTTCTGGACTGAAAGGTACGAAGCTCGTGACCTCATCCAGGGGAGAATGAGGATGAGCAGACTGACCCCTCTGACCCAGCCTCCTTCAAGCCAGTGCCACTCGTCTTTTAACATATCCCAGGCAGCACAGCCCTCTACAGGAGGTTCAGTACCAGCTGGAGGAAGGGAGAATCCCTCATCCACAGCACTCAGCAAGCTGCGGGGGTCTCTGTGCCACTGAGAGCCAAAACAATCTGAATCCCACTAATTCCACCCTACGTGCGGCAGTATTCAGCTAATCCTGGTCAAAGAGGACATCACAGCGCTCAACCTGCATGCAGGTGATTGACTTGACATTCAGCTCAGCTGTAACTGAACATAGAAACCTTGGTGCTACCATGATGCCACACTGGATTGTCATTTAAACTGCATACACCTGCTCCCCAGGTTACACAAGACTCGACTTACACACATTTTCAACTTTACATAACCTCCCGTGGGTCCCGCAATAACATTTTCACAGTAGAGTTGCACAGGATAGTTTAAGTTACATGTGTGTAGACCATGAAGTGTGTAAAGTTTGTTAAGCAGATGAATAGTGCATGTGAAGCATAATGCTCCTTTTCACTTTATTTCACTTCCCCTGATATCATCAACCCTACATGGAAGTCCAAACAACTGCAACCACTTCATCCTCTATGTTCCCCAATCTTGCTCATGATGCTTCATCTTGCTTCACCTTTTTCTCCCACTTTCTGGTCGAGCATTGGGAGCACCATGCAGATAGCCCCAGATTGTTTCCGTTACATCTGTTTCTCCAGTTCTTCTCTTTGCTGTCCCCACAGGACCTCCCCTGATCATTTATACCCACTCTGCTCCATGAGTGCAAGTGCACAGTGTCGGTCTACACTGAGGTCCTCCTCCTTCACAGCCCTCACCATTCCTAGAGCCCAACCCCAGTTGCACCCTGAGCTGCGACGGAGATGAGTCATCCATCCAGCCCTTTATCCCCCTCCCTCAGTTGGTGTCCAACTGGTGCGGTGTCAGCTTTGGACTCTGCCTCTCAAAGCTTCCATCTGCAAATGCAGGTGATACCTCTTGTCCTTTTAGGACTTCTAATTAGAATACATCCTCTCCATTCCATCCTGAAAATTTCAACAGGTGGCAGCAGTCTTCCTACTTCAGAATCGGATTACTCTCCTGGGTCGCTGCAGTGTTTTCCGCTGTCTACCACAGAGTTCCAGTCTCAAACTAGCCTCTGCTGATTAGCTGTTTGTACTGCCACCTGTTTGCTTATTTGCATTCCATCACCCACATCATCTCTGCTTCCCATCTATTTCATTCACCATCAGTGTTCCACGAAAACAGAGCATGCCCAAATTTGACCTCGCCCTCTCTGAATGAGAATTTGAACTTCTGAATGGTATAGAAAATATAATTAGTACTAGAGGATCAACTGCGTGTCAATAGGGTTTGAAGTAAGTTTGTAAATAAACAAGAAGGTCTTGCTTAATTGACATGTTAATGGACAGAAACGGAGCGTATGACTGTCTAAACGCACCTTCAGAAGGCTTCAGAAAGTTCACAAAGGATTAAATCTGAAATTGCAAGCATCACATGCACGTATTCGGATTGAGATAATGTTAACGGATCAAAAACAGAATGGACAAGGGGTGAGTGCTCCAATTAGGGTGAGATAGTTAGTGGTGTACAACATGGGTCAGTATGCGAACCACTGCTTGTCCTAAAACTCAGAGTGACTAAATGCATGGCCAGGAATGCCTTAGACAGAGAGAAAAAAACTTGACCTTTGAAGTTATAAAAAAAGAAAAGACTATAAAGAGACCTGATTTAAGCATTCATAAGCCTCAAAGGCAAAGCCAACCTAACGGACGTAATTAACAGAAAACACAAATCAAAGGATAGAAATGAGAACTAAGGGGAAGTGCATTTAAAACAGAGAAAAGGTAGAAACAAAGTGTTGTGCGAGTCTGGAATAAGCTATGTTGTTAAACCAGACACCAGTCAATAGCCAGTGACCTGCCAGTATGTTTTTGGACCGTGGGAGGAAAGCCACGTGAACACAGGGTTGCAGAACAAACTCCAGACGGACAGTAATCGAACCCAGGGCTCCAGCACCACCAGGACACAATGCCAACCTCTGCGCCACCATGGTAGCAATGCAAACGTTATGTAATTATGCATTTCATTTCCAAAGAGTACTTGCAATTACTGTACATGTATAAAATCTATGAAAAGACATAGGAAAATAAAAAGAAACTTGGAAAGCTATGCAAACAGTTAAAAAAAAGGAAAACCTGTCAAAAACAAGCATTAGGCAGGAGATGTCATCAATTAACCCAAAAATGAAACACGGATTTGCAAAGCTTATTGACAAAATCATTTGGTTTGAAATAAGGTACAGTATGTTCTTAAATTAGACATTTAATGAATGTTATTCTATTTTGATTTATAAATAGTAACATACCACCTTGCCATTACTTCATGTGTTTTCATGCATACTGTGAAAACTGAACACTGCACCTCATTAAAGGCTTTTGTTGTCCTAGACAAGTTGTTAACCACATGCACAAAAGATTTGACTGAAATCAACCAACAGCTGTCATTTAAAAAATACTTTTTGTGATTATACCACATTTTGTTAATAAGAAACAATGTTAAAGATAGTCTAGATTATTTGTTGCATATACTTTGCACAAGCTGACACAATTGTTACCTAAAACAATAGAAAAGGGGGTCATTTATCAACAATATCATTATCCTTAAGATTTATTTTTATCTGTGAGGTTCTATTTTCCTGATGAACTAAGCTGAACGACAGTATGTGATTCTAAACTGAACAGCAATAAGCAGAACAAGCTCATGAGGCAAATATGAACAAGTAACTAAGCACCTCCAATTTTAATTTTACAGTCTGATGCTCAGCTGTAATATCTTACTACAACAAGGTATTCATTTAGTTACTAAGACTTTCCAAAAGTGAAAAAATACATTTCAAAATAACAGTGACTTATTTTATAGATACAAGTCTTATAAAATGTCTGCTTTATATTTTGCCCATAAATCTAAAAAGCTCTTCAAATACATCTTTAACCTTTGGCTGAAATCTGCAGGTATGTTACAGTATATGCTTCTAAAATTCCCTATGTGTGCAAAAAACAGAACCGAGTAATTTTATCTTAAAGCTGTGCATTAGTAAAACGTTGTTTAAGAATAAAAGTGCAAAGTTAGGGTTGTTATTTTACAAACAAATATTGTAATAAGTCTAGAGAAGAGCAGCAGGCCACTAACCACTATACCAGGCTTAAAGGTACATGCTGCACTGACGGGCTGAAAGAACTGAATCTTTTTAGTCTTGAACAGAGTATTCATATCACATCAACGTGGACCAGTTTGCTCTGGTTATCTACAAACTGTCCATTGCAGTGCCCACCTTTTCACCAACCATCTGTTGAGCTGGGTTTGCACCTGGAATCTTTCCTCTGTTGCTTGGCGATGGCAAGCATAATACAAAATACAAATATTAACAACTGACAGTTCTTTGCCAGCAATTTTCACTGCCACACCCAAATATCTTGATGATGAAAACGCACAAGACAATAGCTGGCCATGTTACATAACACGATGAAGACTAAATGTGTAAATATACTCAATCGCGCATGGAAGAAAATTAATGTATAGGCCAAAACCGGTCTTCTCTTCATTCTGAGGCACAGTAGACTACTTATGGGCCGGTATGATACGTATTCAATTCAATTCAAGCTTTATTGTCCCCCAGGGGAAATTTGTTTTGTATCATTTCAAGGTTGTATGCTTCTAAGTTTTCAAGCGAGACCTTGAACGAAACATATCACATACACAATTCTTTCAAGTGGATTTTTTATTCGTCTAGATATATATGTCTATATGTGTATATATATATAAACGGTTTAGACATTTGATTCGAAAATTAATTTCAGTAAACAATCGATTACACGAAACAATGTACTTCAGAAACCGACAATACTAATATTAATACTGTAATTACAATATGCAACATCTGCACGCTAACTGTATAGCGAGAAGGAAATTAAAAACTTTCTCTGTTTCTGTCGTAAACTGCACGCATTGATACAGTAGCTATCGTAAAAACTGGAATCTGTTTCAACAGTGTGGTCAGAATACATTTTTGCCTTCCCTACACTAACATGTATCTGTTCCGCATGAAAACAAACCGAAAACCCCACTGTTTACTAGTCTTTGAAGTGAAGGATTGCTCGGTGCTACTGTACCACTGCGGGTTTATTGGTGTGCGATGCAGTCAGTGATCATCCAAGAGAATGGGTGGTCCTGTCGAATAACACTTTTTAAAAACTGTTCACGTAGAGATTCATTTTCTTTTTTATGTGATAAAAATGGTTTTCACTTATTTGAAAAAAATAAAATAAAACCGGTCTTCCATTCCGTTTAAATACGGGATTACAAAGAGTTCAACAAACAAGAAACGAAATGTTCTCGCTACCTGTGCAAGCAGGATGCTGTTGAGTCGCAAATGATGATTTTCCAAAAGGCGTTTTACAGCCCTTTAAAACTAACGCAATCATTATTCTAGAACAAGATGATCACGGTAAGGTTCGACTAGCTACGAATTTAGGTTTATAATACCCGCAGCTGTAGAATGTAACTGGGAGACGAGAAAAAAAGGATTATTTTTACAAGTGTAGCGCACAGATTTGATACCGCAAATCAAGCCAGTGTAGCCAGCACATCTGTATTTCAAGCACCGAAATATTGCTTCATTTCCTTTAGAAAAAAAAACACAAAATATGAATTCCTCACAGATCTTACCTGTCAATTCCGCTGTATTTCGTCGTTCAAACGATTCGGCACAGCAGACTTGGCGAATTCGCCAATTACCGGAGCTTTCTGGCGGAACAGTGGATCTTCCGAATCAAACAGAAATGAAACATACAGTAGTCTGATGCTAGTAGCACATTTTCGCAAAGCTGTGTTTTTAAAGCGATTATTTTACCACATAAAATCAACAAAATAATGTTCCAAGCAAAGAAATGCAGTATTCCACCCTTGCACATTTGCTGATGGTTTCAATTGATCCGGCTGTGGTACTCGCCTTTCTCTTGTGAGGACAGGCTCGAAGTGTCGATGTTCAAGTTTCCGGTGATACTGGGTAGCTACTAAGTCATGATAAATCCATATGTAAAGGGCTAAACTTTAAAGATAACCCTTCACTCTTTTTCCGTATGAAAATATCTGAGACGGTGCTGAGCAAAGCTTCTCCGGCTCGGCGCACACTTTTCCACAGTGTGCATCTTGAAGCCGACAACAATGATGGTAAACACTTTCCCTCTCCCCTTCACACAAGTAATAGATATTTCTCCCCCTCTTTTAAAAAAATGTAAATTATTGCAATTTTTAAAATATCAGAAAATAATCTAAAGCGGCTCATGCAACCTTCTTTTCACATATTCTTTAGCGAAAATACTTCAGTAGACCATAATAATATCCCAGTCTCTGCACGCCGCTGCAAAATGCAAGGGATTCAATTCGGAAACAGCCAGTCGAAATCCCCGCAGCCACAGTTTCAAAGTACAGCACACTCCACTTTGTATCCGGATTTAACTGACTAAATCGTAAGCCAATCAGGCCTGGTGTTCATTCTGCTGGGACGCATATATTAATGAGGTCTCCAATCCAAAGGGAATCTTGCGCTTCCCGGCCCGCGGGTTTGGTTGCACGAGTCAGGAGGCACGTGTGGGTTGTACTGTGGGGATGCCGAGATCCTGTAGGTATAGTACTGTAGCTACGATTCTGTATCAGGTTTTAATAACTAAACGAAGAAGTTTTACATTTTTTTTGTTTAGAATTCTTTTTTTCTGAAATTGTGAATCTTGTGTTTTGTTTTGTCATGTCGTTTTAAAATCTATTTCACCCCAACTTGAGATCACAGTTGGTCCAGTCACCCGTTTTCCTCATTGTATCCTGATATTCTTCGAAAACGCTACATACAGTAAATAGGCATTTCCTCTCCTCTTAAACCGAGTGCAGAGGGTATTTTATTCTTTTATTTCTTTCATCGCTTTGTTTTCTGAGCAACAGTGTTTCTGCCTTGTGACTAGGTCATAAATGAGAATTTTGTAAACAGTGTTATCTGGTTAAATTAAAGGTGATGATTGAAATAACAGTATTTATAGAAGTAAACTTAAATACTCCATTGACAACCATTTAAAATGTCAAAAACATGTTCTTAGACGCGTTTTGTTCAAACTAAATACTTCCTTGTTGAAACTTGAAATACCACGAAAGAGGGTCAGTCTGTGAGTGGCTTTTGGTATATAGAGGGATCACATGGTCTATTGCTTGTCTCCAGGCGATCTTGTCCTTGACTGTCAAAGTCAGATGACCAAAGCTAATTTTAATTGCAGACTCACAGCCCTGACTTTCATATTTTTGCAGTTGTGAAGCAGATTCAGAAACATTTCTTAGGGTGCTGAAAAGGCTACAGTCTTCACAGATGGAATGATATTTTCCACAGTGTAGTGCAAAACCCAAAGAATCTGCAGAATTTGCACACTGTCCTCAGCCTGTAGCCTTTTTTCAGGTACTGTACCTCTGAGCTGGGAAGCTAAGGGATCCATGAGTCTCATGCAGCAGAATCAAACTGGAGAACCTTAATTGCTGTATAACAGGTAAATTAGGTCCTGGAAAAGGAAAGTAAAAATCCCTCAAATCAATCATTTTCTATTAACAGACAAACTTATTTACTTTCCCAGTAAACTTTACCCAGGTGTAAAAATACTTTTAATGTCCAGTAAAACTAGGGCAATTTTGTTCATATGGTACATTTTCACTCCAAATCACTGTTTCCCCTTCAACAGATGCCAATGAAGAAAACCATAGAGGTGAAATGTGTCCAGTGTCCAATGTGTCCAGCACCCAAATGTCCAGTGGGTGCTGGCAAGCTGTTTTTCACTGGCGTCAACGTTACGAGTCTCTGGCCGGATCTGACAGAAACGAAGTAATGATGGGCCAGGGGAGACCTCCGGGGAAAACTGATTGGCTGCAGCAAAGTGAAGTTGATAGACACTACGATGTTGATTCTACTTGGAGCTTTCTTGTGAACAGTTTTGTCTTTTTATTGTTCCCAAACACAATACCAAAATGAAAATAACCATTACTCCACTTACTGCCCTCAGAGGTACAGTACTTCCTGCAGAGTCCCCCTGTTGGTTTCTAACAACACTCTCGCTATTGTAAAGCTCCCCCTTGATTCAACACAATTACTGCTGCTCTGCCCGCCTGCGGTGTAGTGGGGTTGCTGGTATATTATGGCCCGGGTATTTCAGTGCTCGATGAAGCATGTCCCCCTCCTTTGTAAAAGCACTTTGGGATGAAAAGCACTATATGAATCAGAAAGAATTATCATTAGTGTAAGCAAGAGTCTTGATATCTCGGCAGCACTTTGCCGTGGACAGGGTTGGGCTCAGATGGCAAATGTTCTGTTTTGCTATGAGAAACAAAAATCCAATCCCACTGTTACTAGTCCCACAGGTTGTTGTATTCATATTATGCTATTTATGCATTATGTAGAATTCAATACAAAAAAAATCTGTTGATTTATGTAAAGGTGCGTTTCTGATTTTCTGTTGGATTACTGAGAGTAAGTGCCCTCCTTAAGTTTTTTAATCTACCTGATGTATTTTTATTACAAAGATGCTGTTTTTATATTACATAAGAGGTTTATTCAATCATTTTAAATACATTGATAAGCATTAAAAAAGTGAGTTGCTTAGTCCCAACACTCATTTTGTTGCTTTTTCAATGTCTCTAAGTTTGTGTAGCATGAAAATCTAATGTCGGTTTAGTTTAAATCTATGAGAAATTATAGATTTCTTTTTATCAGTAACAGCTGTTTTGTAGTGACTTCATATTTTGTATGTCCTTTTTTAATGCTGTTGTATTGATTTGTATATATTGACTTTATTGCATGGAAACAAAAGCGAAACGAAGATGGCAATTTTCGGAAAAGGACTAGTTAATTGTTATTTCTGTATTGATGTATTTGTTATTCCACAAGATGTAATTTTTAAAAAAAGCCAATTTTATCAGAGCTGTAATTTTTAACTATAAAAAAATACACAGAAATTGTAATTGAACCTTGTGATATAGGTGGGTTGTTATGCCTACTGATAACTTAAACCAATCCTAACACAGTGTCTCTGAATTATTTTTCATATACTGTATTCTAACTAATGCATTTTTAAATTGATTTCTTACCTATAATCTGTCCTCTGTTTTTTTTTATGAATAAATAGCAGATAGTTTTAAAGATAAGCAGCCAAAGCCAAAAATGTATTTAAAACTTTTCAGTTTTTGGTCAATTCCATTTTTTAACAATTCACATGAGAGAAAAAAGAGGACTTTATTCGCCATATGTACATTTACATTGGGATTTTTATTTGCACTGTGCTCCTGGGATGTGCACACAGATTGAGTTTCTATTACTCAGAAACAGCAGATGTTAGCACTGAAAATAATAGATTGTGTTGCTTACATCTTCCTGCCTCGTGTATAAACTTGCACCTTGCAATACTGAAGTCCTGAGTTAATTAATTGAAAATGTATCTAATGCTTTTTGATAAGAATTCTTTTTTATTTCTAATTACATCTCTTATTCCCAAATGTAAGAGACTACAGAGAACCACAGCATTATTACATGGTTAAAAACTCATTAAAAAATTGCAATGAAATACACATGTATTAACCTCAAGAAGGGAGTAAAACATGATAGAACAAAATGTACAATATTCAGTTTTTTATTGGTGGGCAGTAAAAAAATATAATTTCAAAAACAGAAAAAAAACACATTTGGGAATGCTCAAGGACAGTATCTGTGAGTCAGGATACATTATGACTCATATTCATTGTTGGAGCTAATCTTGCTCTCTGTATCTGAAAATGCAATAAAACCTGTAGTTAAATATTTTTAATCTCTGTGGGCGAAATCTAAACTGTAAAGAAACATTTTATGCTAAGAAATCAAAGGAGAAATAATAATCAAAGTGAAAGAACATAAAAATAAGTATAATAAAAGCACCAATGTGCTGCAATTGTTAGTCAGAAACATACAGCTCAAAAATGTACATTAAAAATAATTCATTTGCAGGTTAACTGTAACTTGTATCACTGAGCAGAACTGCACAGGGCAACATTTCCCTTTCAATACAGAAACAAAATTGTTACAAGAAAACCCATATCTTTAGCAATCAGTAGCTGTCCAAAAGCAATGCCTTTCACTATGATAAATAGATTTTGTATGTATAATGTACAACAGTAAATGATGCAGGGAGAAAGACAGAATCACAGAATAAAAGAAAATAGTTATCATTTGATTTCAGTTTACTATCATTTGACAGATCCCTGTGTACGTTTCCTAAGATAAAATAAACCTAGAATCTACTATTTGTGCTTTTCTGGAGCTGAGAAACAATGCCAAATCTATTTCATAACTGGGAACACTTATGGCAAACTGACTTGGTTGAATAATCAAAGTCAATGATGTAAAAATGAGAAAATACAAATATTCTAAAAAACATGGGGAATTTCTTATAATATCTATGTATGTTCAAATTCGTATATAAAATAATGACTTGAAAGATTTTTCAAAATGAAACAGGAGCATATGATGACATTTAGAAACGGTCGTTTCAGCCATATAGGTCCTTGGGTACTTTAGCTCAAAACAAATGTTTTTTGTTTAACAAGAAATCTGGTTTTAAGAAGGTCAGCATGGTCAGAGCTTCTGGGTCCTGAGTTTATTGCCAGATGGGAGTACGTTCTGAGTAAAGTTGAAAGATTCTTCTCCCGTTTGTGTACGTGCTCACCAGCTGCCCAGGACTCCAGAGAACCGCTGTACAGTATATCACTGTATGTGCACCCTATTTTGTGTCCTGCACTTCCAAGATAGCTTTGTTGTAAGCTTATGTTTTATTATTATTATTATTATTATTATTATAATTGTCAAGTCTCTATATGTCAAGTTTCTTCATCTCAGTTATTTCATAAGGTGACCTGGGTTCAATTCCAAATCTGGGGTGCTGTTTGTGTCCTTCCTGTGCTCACCTAGGTTTCTTCCAAAAGTCCAAAGACTGGTGGCGTCTGGGTAAGTTCATTTGTGAATGTGTGCCTGTCTGCCCTGTGATGGATAGGCTTCCCGTCCAACTTGTATCCTGCCTTGTGCCCATTCCTTGCCTGGGCAGACTCTGGCTCCTCTGTGAGTGGATGAAGCTGTGAGAAAATGGATGGGTTTCATAAAGTACTGTAAAGATGAATGACTTATACAAGAAGAAGAAACATGTCAGACCTTGTACGTATTCAATTCACCGCTGCATGCTCACTACATTACAACACACATCAAGTGGTTATAATTTTATCTACTTGAATGCCTTTTTGCTTAATATATTTTAACTTAATATGGTATAAATTAATGAAATAATCTAAAAGCTTCAATTTTGTGCTGCATCAAACTCTTGCAGGTCCACATTTAAAAACCAGAGTTGCTCTTTTTCACTTGAGCCATTCGCCACATCTATTGATATACTGTACAACTTATCATAGAACATATAGTCCTGGGAAGTTGTTTGTTATCCACACAGCATTTATATTAAATAGTTATTACAATCATATGAAGTATTACTGAGCCACACCTCAAAATTAGGTGACAATGCTCCTGTGATAAATATGTTAAGTCACAGTCAACACCATTCTTCAAGCAGTATTATGAAAAGAAAGGATTACTTGCTAATTGACAGAAATATCAAATATCAGAGGACTATAGGACAAAAAAATGATTTACAAGGACAGTTTTTTTCAATTTCTGTATTATGTCTTCCAAATCAACCCGAGGTCATATCATCTTAGCATTGTAAAATGCAAATGTGTTACATTTAAGTACTGCAGAAACTAACATAAAACAATAACATAATAACCACTTTCTATAAGGTAGCAGCTTTCGTAGCATGCTTTTTTCATACAGCACCAAACCTGCAGAGACCACTTCAGAAAAAAATGTTCAAAATGGTTTGTGTAACTAGTAGTGCTAGTTTATAAGGGTTTAATTTCAATATAGCAAAAGATGCATTTTATGTGTCTTTTTCTGATTTCTGATGTATTGTTTTGCCTACCTGTTAAAATAATTCTGTTTACAAGCCTGTGGGAATAAAAGATTCAGTTTCTATTGATCTGGGATCGATGAGAAAAGACTAAAGTTGGACCAATAAAAGACGAGAGTCTGTGTATATATGTCTGTGTACTGTATATATGTTGCTCATTTACTAATTCAACATTAAAATATGGATTACTTCTTATACAAAGGGACACTTAATATAGTTCAATTCAACCACAAAAAATACAATCACTTTTACAATACAAGAACAGCAAATATGAAATGAAATATTAAATTAATCTTTGCAACATTTTTTTATTCCTTAATCATTTTTATTTAACATTGTTTAAAACCAATCAAGGAACTGCATCTTGTAGCCTGGGCAATGCAGTACAAATGTCCAGAAAATATTAACCAAAAAATACATTTCAAACAAAAGAGGATGATTACATTAATTTTTCTACAACAGATCAGTGATGAAGACTGTTAGTTAGCTTTTATCTGCTTCTTGTCTTCAGTCTTTGGTGGTATAATTTTAACGTCAAAGAGAATGAAGAATTCCAGAAGTGCCTT